TGAAGCAGGCCTGCCAAGCATTACTTACAGTACCTACTCAAATCACGGAGTAGAACTGGCTGGTTGGCTCTGCAACAATGAGGTTATTATCAGTGCTAGTTAAGTTTGAGTTTTAGAGTTAGAGCCCCACGAGGACCAGTTCGGAAGCACGAATTATACATCGCTTTAACCGCTTCCTGCCGGGTGGTTTGAAAAATGCAGTGCACATAATCGGGACTTTTCCAAGATTTTCAGTTTTCAAAATTCTTCAAAAATTCATCATTTCAATTAATGGACGTTTACATGCACATGAATTACTGTCTGGTGGCCACTCTAGTCTGACAGACAAAAATCTATTGATGCCCGAGTATTTCAGCAAGGCCTGCAGCCTTGTAAAAAGAGCCCAGATTGTGCGGTGTTATATAACTTTCTTTTGTTCATGAACCTGGCGCTGCTGACCTCTTTTCAATAGGGGCCAGATTAGCGTGAAGCGGTGCTGTGTGGCTTTTGTCCCCGGTGGTAATCTGCTCGTTCTAAATGCCCCAAACCGTAGTATACTGTTTCAAAACAAGGCTTAATTATCTCCACTATTGAGAGTCAAAAAATGTCAATAATGCCCAGCAGCCTGGTCTTTTGTTCCAAGTACAGTCTTTTATTACAAGGCCCAGTTCCCTTTGTCCAGTTTTGGGTTCCCCGACTTAGTGTATAAAGTCTACAAGATCGAAAACGGGTCCCCCGGTAGCAATCGGTTAATATTGAGCCTTGTTGGCGGAAAATAAAGCCAAGTGCATATTGTTACATTTCTTTAATTGCTAGTTCTGTTTGCATTTGCCAGGAATAACAGACAGAATAAATATGCACATATGAAGAAAACGGTTTCAAAAGTCCACTCTTGTCTCGACAATCTTTCCATGGTTCACACGGTACCTCCATATTGTCCCATAAGAGGTGATGATAAGGCAATGAAGGTGTGTACATTGTGGTCAGGCATGGTCTCTAGTATACCTCGGCACGTGATTCCCCCTGAAAAGGAAACGACATCAAAAGCTCCAGTTACGTGTCAATGCAAATGGTACCGAGGATATGTACATGTACTTCCTTGTTGCGAAATGCCCTTGTTTAACAGTAAATGTGCTTTGTGGACAGGAACAAACAACTGTTCAGCTACTGCAATGCTGGTTATCTGAGTTATGTTCACGAACACACACGTACTTGTACACATACAAGCAGAGACTTTCCTGGTAGCAGTTCCCTTTTCGGACACCATCCTACCGGTACATGTATGCCCTTCCCGTCTTTACACGAGTTGCTGTTAAGCGGCAAGAACTTGATAATGCCAAGGAAGTAAGGCATTCTGAGCTGTGCTTTGAAACAGGACCCTCAGAAGAACTGCTGTCACCTTTGAAGTCTGCAGCTTCTCTAAAAAATCCCCAGATAAAGATTGAAACCTTCTTTACCCCTTTTCCTCTGAGCCAGGATTTAGCAGAGGATATGAATTGTAAAACTGTCACTGGGGCACTTCAAACAAGGAGGCAAAAACTGAAAAAAAGGACACATGTGCAAGTGTATGATACGTGTATTTCTTGATGAATGTCCTAAATGAAATCCCTTCAAGGACAAAAGACAGTCACAAGTAGAAAGGAGAACTGCACAGTGTCAAACTGTTTCACTAACAAAGTTTCCTAACTTTTTTGTCCCAACTCACCTTGAGAATAACATAACAAGATGACTCCACTCTTGGCCTGCTCCATGATGGGCCGCATGGCCTCCACAAACTTTGGGACTTGAGTCCATAATGATGCCAGGCTCTCCAAATGTTCAAACAGAGGAATTGCTGTGACATTTGTACCAGGGTGGGCCTGATGAAGAAAGTATGTTTAATGAAACACAGATTTGGCAAAGAAAGAAATTACTAGCATTATAAAGGAAGCATACATGTACACTAACATTGAGGAACAAACTCAAACATATTTAAGAATACACACTCCTGAGTAGTAACTAATGATAACAACACTCTAACATACCCTCCAACACTTCTTCCAGAAGAGAAAAACTGACAGCAAAGTTTTCTCATTTACTGTTCTCAGACTTACAAAATTTGGATAAAGTCATCACCATACTGGTAAATCATGATTACTGTCTTACATGTAGATGCATATAGACTTGTATGAGGACGCTTTATGGAGTGCTACTATAGAGGGTTTGCATGGCTGCCATCTTGCAGGCCAATGCTTTTGTCACACAAGGCATGCACAAAGCAGGTTCCCTTGTGGAACAAAGAAACTGCTCTGCAAGATGGCTACATGTACATGTACAATGAAAGGCGATTTACATGTACATGTAGTTTCATTTTCTGTTCTAGTGTGAAGACAAATGCTGTGGTACACGTCATAAAATTCACTCTGATTCTGTTTTCCTGGATGCCCAGGGGACTTCCAAATAAAGCATGCATGCAGTATTTACAAAACTGCTGGGAACGTGACTGGCTATAGAAACTACTCTGTACAGTTACACAATGACGAAGAAGTTAGCCGACATTTTTCAGACAGTATAGCAGTTTTCCCCTGATGTGATATCAGGGACTTTCATTTTCAGTTCCACTATTACACACACGGAACATTTTTAGATTGTTGAAGGTGCGCTGATCTAACAGTCCTGACCTGGGGAACAATGCGAGACTACAAGCCCCTTCCCCCACCCCTATTCTGCTGCTAAGAAAATGGACTTCCTCGGTATTTTTGTCCCAGAGGAACTGTACCTCTGCAAAAATCACAAAACAATGGCAACAACGGTTTACAAAGTTTGTAAATGTTTCAGCTCATGTTTGATCGATTTACCAGTGGTACTTTGCAAACAGGAAGCACTGTACAGAGGGCTGAAAACTTTCAACACTGTGTGAGTTGGTGCAATTTGCTTTATCTTCTTGTTAATATGCATGCGGGTTAAATAAACTAAGTAGAAAAATAAACATACATGTATTTTGCATCTGGGGTTTCCAAAAAAGGGGAATGCAGAGCTTTTTTTGCAAACAATGTATTTTAGGATGTTATCACTTTCTAATGGTTAATAGGAAAAATAGAGTTATTAGTTGTGTTTGGAAGTTTGCCCCCCCTCAAGGATACACTAGGAGGCTTATTGCTTCACCTACACGGTGTATCTTGTAATGAAAAGAAATAAATACACAACTGAGCAAAACATATAAAGTGAAACATAAAAAATTGACCAAAAAAAGGTGAGAATTCAATATCAGGCCATAATTTTCAAATGGGAAAGTATCCCTTACACGGATATCACTTGAAACCCTGTGGGAGGCTGTGCCAAAAAAACCTTATGAGAGACCTGCTTGAAAAATTCTGGATGCTAAGTAAACGCGTCTTCAATATTTTCCCTGCTACATTTGACTTTTCAGGCCGCAGTCATTTTCTAATGGATTGCTAAAAATAAACCACTATAGAGGGAAAATGACTGATGTCCGTGTGTGGAACTCTTTCCTTCAACCTTGAAGTGTCACAAATATGCCTATACGTACCACACTTTTCAAACCTCTTTGGATTGTTATAAATTATACAATCTAAAACTTGACAGAACAGGTGGCCCTGCTCTCAACACACGCTGGTTGTGAAACTCAGAAATTCCGACAATCAAATTTGGAATTCTTCCCAGGGATTCTTTCCGCATTTACCTCTTCAATTAGCCTGACCAGGTCATTCAAGGTACTCGTCCCGGTGAATATGCCGTGTATGAGTATGACTGGCTTGTACGCCGTCGTGGAGGACGGACTACCCCGGGGAACAAACGCGACATGCCGGGCCAAGGTTGACGAAATGCTGGTGACCATCAGCACAACATGGAACCAAGATCGCCAGCGAAAACCGGAAGAAATCGACATGATTTACATAGCATCAAGCTACCCAATCAAAGCATCGTGTGTGAGCCTGCCCTTGTTCACTCTTAATACCTGTACCCGGGCACGGAATGTTCAAATATATCACCTGCACAAGCATATATATACACGTACATAGGTACATGATGGATCTGTATCTGCTGCACAAGCTGCGCTGACGAACAGGCGTCGAACATGTGATCAGCATGCGCATGGGACTGTTCTTGGTAGTCTGGTTCCCTGCCAGAGATTCCTTGCCAACTCTAGATTCGTAGACTTGTCAAAATCACTGGGTCTGGTATCCAGACTATGTTTTTTTTTATATTGATAATGAGGGAAACTCAGACAAGGACTCTATTGAGGGCGCTAGATAGGGCACGTGGTGATCGATCCTCCTTTCCGGCATCGTACATTCCCATACGGTTGTGTGTAAAAACTTTGATAACCGTTATCCCATGTATACTATCCCCAATTGTAGGATCAGCAGCTGCCGTTACTAGGATACATTAGGGTACGTACAGTACATTTATGTTTTGGATCGATTTACCTTTTGTCAATATTTTTGTCTCATGACTAGGACTTGAAATCTCGGAGAAACTGAAATATCTCCTTAATGGGTATAATGCCTCCATAATTACGTGTGAAAGAATTGTTACAAGCGTGTCTCCCAGAGGATCTTTAAAATTTACTTCACTTTATTTTGCGTAGCTGGGCCTAACTTCTTTGCTTTCTGTTCTTTCAGTATTTTATAGGTCTACATGTACTTGTTCTCTAAGTCTGTATAAATGTGAGAAATAAATAATTTTCTGCTGAATGACATACCTACGATTGGTAATCAATGGTTTGTAAATGGCACATTTTGATTTTTCGTCATTACCGCTTGCGTCTATTCTTCGTTTCCCTACCAACTGGGCCGGGTCAGCCAATCTACCGCGTTTGAAGATATTAATTAATGCACTGCAGCTGTATTGGCAAAAAAATCCAATTACAGGGCACCTGCTACAGTGGGAATCAAACATATGATCAGCCCAGGCTTCAAGCTGGCTCAAAACGTTGTCAAGATCCGTGGGTTGGCTCTGGCCCGCCAGCTCATTACTAGTGCTGACCCAGTCAATTAGAGGTAGCAAACTGGCACGGGTTAGCGAACTCCGCAAAGCTAGGGCCAGTGCCCGCCCAGGGCAGGATTCGTAAAAAGTATAGTTGCCATGTATCCAGTGGCCAGAAGAGGCCCCGGGCAAGCATTATTATAATAAATATTTAAAAGTCATGATTATATAAATATGATGCAGTGAAAACACAAGAGAAGTAGGGCCTCAATAAGAGCAAAATTCATTCAAAATTGTTGAGGCTCAATTTGCATGTTGATCCCAAATGGGCATGGCATTGTGATTCCTCACCTTAATGGGGCATTTTTGGACAAGTACAAGGATTTGATGGTGTTCTTAACTTGTCCAAGAGCGCTCTTCGTCAGCTGCCGATGGCCATGTTGCTCATTTCCTAATTAAAAAATGACGGCCAAATGCAATCACCTTCCATCTAATCCTACCTCTGTTCATGCTGAACGGCGTTGTTTAGTCGGGACTTCCCCTCAGCTGGTATTCAGTTATGTACATACGAGCTGGCCAAGTCTCATAGGATTGTGCATATCTTAGCCACGTGGTGATATGGGAGCAATTACACAGACGTTATCTTAGTCATGTAGTCTTGGGCCAAGACGGCAGAACTTGATCGAGCATATTAATGTGCTGCGCGTGCCGATTTCTATTGCGTTCTCTAGTGACTTCATTTCACCAATGGACGGCTCGTGACCGCGTCTTGGGAATCTCCTACAACTGAGGCGTGGCCTTCGTATGCAAAATAGTTGTTTAATATGAATCCTCAGAATCGACCCAAGGATGCAAAATTGGATACAAAACAGACCGTGGGAGCGTTGAAGCGGCTTCGCATCAATAGCGTTAGTTTGTTATTTCTGTAGTTTTGTTATAGAAAGTCTTTTACAGGCTTACTTCTTTGCTACTACTTGTTCCAGCGCATCGACTGCGGCCGTTATCAACCGTCACTGTGCTGGTACTTTAGTGGTACATTCAACGTCCGTATACGGATATGCACGTAATAGGTCATGTGATGCAGGTCATTGATCCATATTCATCACATACAGGTTCAACTGGAATTTCCCGGGCGCTGATTGGTTCCTCCGGAAACGCGGAGGAAAAGTAAAAAAAAAATTAAACAGTTTGTAGGAGTTGCCCATCCCAACTTGAAGAACGCGAACGAGCCATCGATTGGTGAAATGAAGTCACGAGAGGGCGCGATGGAAATCAGCGGGCGAGGCATATTTTATGCTCGATCGAGTCCGGTATCGAGTTCTGTCGTCTTGGCCCAAGACTAACGGTGCCTTGGCAAGCCAGAGAGCCTGTCTTAAGGGTGACCACTAATTCAAGTGAGAATTTCTGGCCAGCTCATCAGCATTAAAAGTGCCCCTACAGTATCTTTTGAAAAAGGAGATTGTTTGGCCCCCAATTTTCAAAATGGTGAGATTGTGTAAATCGCTGCCGGGATCAACTCCCTGGGTCTTTGATGAGCTTTCATATGAGAGCAGAAGGGCTAAACACTACGGTTGAAAAATAGTCCTAAGTGNTGGGTTGGCGAACTCCACAAATCCAGGGCCAGTGCCCGCCCAGGGCAGGATTCGTAAAAAGAATAGTTGCCATCCAGTGGCCAGAAGTGGCCCCGGGCAAGCATTATTATATATAAATATTTGAAGTTCATGATTAAATAAATATGGCGCAGTGAAAATACAAGAGAAGTAGGGCCGCAATAAGAGCAAAATCCATTCAAGATCGTTGAGGCTCTATTTGCATGTTGATCCCAAATGGGCATGGCATTGTGATTCCTCACCTTAATGGGGCAATTTTGGACAGGTTCAAGGATTTGATGGTATTTTCAACCTGTCCAAGAGCGCCCTTCGTCAGCTGCCGATGGCCATGTTGCTCATTTCCTAATTAAAAATTATGGCCAAATGCAATCACCTTCCATCTAATCCCACTTCTGTTCATTCTGAACGGCGTTGTTTAAGCGGGACTTCCCCTCAGCTGGTATTAAGTTACCTGTACAAGCGAGCTGGCCTCTGGCCAAGTCCCGATAGGATTGTATGGTGTACTATTTACGACAAACATTTCTCTCTCTCTTTAGCCTCCCTCCAGGCGACGCAACCAGACGACGCGACGGCACGACGGCTCCCTTGCGTCGTGCCGTTGGGTCGCACCTTCGCCTTCTTGCCATTACTTTTGTACACACACGACGCGTCGCGTCGTGCGTCGCGTCGTGCCGTCGCCCGTCGCGTCGTGCTACTTTAGGTATTTTCCATGTTGCATTTTTTGCCGCCTAAACGTCGCCCCTTCCGTCACCCGTCGCGTCGAGCTGTCGTGCGTTGTGTCGTGCATCGTGTCGTGTATTGCGTCGCCTGAAGCACGACACGACGTGACGCACAACGGTACGACGCGACGGGCGACGGAAGGGGCGACGTTTAGGTGGCAATAAATGCAACATGGAAAAGAACTAAGGCAGCACGACGCGACGGGCGACGGCACGACGCAAGGGAACCGTCGCGCCGTCGCGTCGTCTGGTTGTGTCGCTTGGATGGAGGCTAAAGAGAGAGAGAAATGTTTGTCGTAAATAGTACACCAAAGGATTGTGTATATCTTAGCCGCGTGGTGACATAGAGCGTTTACACAGACGTTACCTTAGTCATGTAGTCTTGGGCCAAGACGGCAGAACTCGCTCGAGCATAATAATATGCGGCGCGTGCCGATTTCTATTGCGTTCTCTAGCGACTTCCTTTCACCTATCGACGGCTCGTTACCGCGTCTTGGGAATCTCCTACAACTGAGGCGTGGCCTTCGTATGCAAAATAGTTGTTTAATATGAATCTTCAGAATTGACCCGAGGATGCAAATTGGATACAAAACAGACCGTGGGAGCGTTGAAGCGGATTCGCATCAATAGCGTTAGTTTGTTATTTCTTCAGTTTTGTTATAGGAAGCCTTTTACACGCTTACTTCTTCGCTACTTGTTCCAGTGCATCGACCGCGGCCGTTATCAACGGTGACAGTACTGGTATTTTAGTGGTACATTCAACGTCCGTATATATGGATATGCATGTTAGGTCATGTGATGCAAGTCATTGATGCATATTCATCACATACAGGCTTAACTGGAATTTCCCGGGCGCTGATTGGTTCCTCCGGAAACGTGGAGGAAAAGTAAAAAAAAAATTTAACAGTTTGCGGGAGATGCCCATCCCAAGAACGCGAACGAGCCATCGATTGGTGAAATGAAGTCAGAAGAGGGCGCAATGGAAATCAGCGGGCGAGCCTTGTTTTATGGTCGATCAAGTCCGCTATCGAGTTCTGTCGTCTTGGCCCAAGATTAACGGTGCCTTGGCAAGCCAGAGCCTGTCTTAAGGGTGCAGACCACTAATTCAAGTGAGAATTTCTGGCCAGCTCATCAGCATTAAAAGTGCCCCCACAGTATCATTGAAAAAGGAGGAGATTGTTTGGCCCCCAAAATGGTGAGATTGTGTAAATCGCTGCCGTTATCAACTCCCGGGGTCTTTGAGCTTTCATATAAGAGCAGAAGGGTTAAAAACTACGGTTGAAAATGGTCCTAAGTGCCCGAGAAAGTTGAGGGTTGCCACTTAAAAATGGCTGCAACCAAACCTCGGAAAAATTACTTTTGGGGGATGATTTTGTTTTGTGGGAATAATTAAAAATGTAATTGGTTAATCCACAAAAAAATGTAAAGAAATTGAAAGATAAGTGACCAGACAAGAATTTCATTTGTGTTTAAGAAATATCAGGGATGTTGGCGTGCATGCTATTGGGCCCTGAACGGTGCTGATTTTACACTGTTTTCAATGGGGCTTGAATTAGTGGACTGTACCCTTAAATGAATGTTCGGTCTCTCTGATCTTTCTAGATACCTGTTTGGGTTGTGCCATTGTGTTGAGGGGGTGTCGATTGATTGTTGACAGTGGCTTATTCCTTGAGGTACCCCCCTGGACTGGAAATGGGGTATACTCACCTTACTCCGACAGTTTTTTCCTGCGATTTTTTAGTTGCAGGGGCTGGAGTACACCCATTAATCAATTTAATGCCATTAGAAGGGATTGTTGTTGTCTCTATAATGATAAATGCCTG